ACACACACACACACACACACACACGCACGCACGCCAGGAGCAAGGGAGCTTTCGGTCCACACTCCCAGATGCCTCCCTGAGCCCTGGAACCCGGACTCGTTGCTCCTGGCCCTCCATACCCACTGGCAGATCATCCTGCGGTCCCACCCCAGATCCCCTCCTCCTGGCCATCCCACTCTGCCCCCTCCACACCCTGGGTACAGAAAGGGACTGAAGTGTTGGGCAGAGAGGGGACTTAAGGCTCCTGGGTACTGGCTGGGATCAGGGCAGTGAGCGGAGGGCAGCTGTGTCCTGCCCTCCCTTCTCCTAGAGGCTGGAGGGGAGAGGCCAAGCCCCTGGAAAATGTAGCAAATGTCTGGGTGTCGCATAAGTGCGTATATGTGCGGGACAGGCCCCGAGAAACCAGTGACTCCTGCGCACTCCCATTGCACGAATGAAATCACAGCCCAGGAGGGAAGGCAGCTTGGCACTGGCCGAGAAGTGGAGCTCTCTCCCCGCCCCTCCCCCCAACCACAAGGGGTTGTCCTGACAACTTCTGGGGATAGAAGGGCTCACAGGGCGGGAGTCTCAGCTGCCCCCGCATCCTTAGGGCAGGGGAGTGAGTGTGGAGCTGAGGGCAGGGCCCAGCTCCCCCTGCCGGCCGCACCGTCCTAGGCCCAGGGACCTCTGCCAGGTCCTCCCAGCCCTTGCCGCACCAGCCTAGACGTAGTAGCCTGGGCTTCCAGCAGGTGGCGAGCTGGTTCGTGCTGGAAATTTCTCCTAGGTTTCTTGGGGTCAAACATGCCAACCTCCAAGACCCCATCCTCACGTCTCCCACATTTCTGGCACTGGAGTGTGCAGGGCGTAGGACCTGCATGTGTGGGTGTGAGAACGGGGGCGGTGGAAGCGAGGGGGCGAGTGTGTGACTAGGTGTGTGTGCACACGCATAGGGTGCAGACACGTGGGTGTCCTCCTATGCATTCAGTGACTGTGCGTCCAGACACCTCAGCCGCGCCCCCACCACCCTGGTGCTCCCAGGCAGCTGTCCCAGGGCGCCCAGGCCTGCCTTGCACCACAACCCTCAGGGAATCCCGCAAGGAGGCCCCTGCAGGTTGGTTCAGGCCCCCAGGCAGCAAGACAGAGACAACAGACCCCTGCCTCCCCCAGTGCTCCCTCCTGACTCCCTGCCCCTCTCTGGGGAGGCCTGGGACCCCCGCAATAAGCTCCACATGGGTGAGGCTGTCCCTGTGCCTGGCCCTCTGCCCCAGGTCACCCCTGCCAGGGTCCCTCCTGGGGTTCTGGGCCATTTGAGGGGCTCTTTGATGGGCCAGGCTGGCCAGAGTGAACTCTGAGCACTTTCTGGCTGATGCCCCCACTCCCCACTCATTCCCACCTTGAAAAAGGGCTATAGGTCCCCTGCCCTGCCCAGGTCCAGTTTACAAACAGTGTGGGGTGGCCCCAGGGCCTGGCCCCGCTCTCCCCGCTGTGCCCACTCCTCTCCAGACCCCACCTCCCCAGTGGGTATGGGCCCTCTACATGCCAGGTAAGTAGCAAACCCCCATTCCCTCCAAGGGCCAGGTCTCAGAGAAGGCCCCCATCACTGCCCCCGGCCCACCTGGAGCCCATCGGGGCTGCCTCTCCCAGCCGCGACTTCTCCTTTTGCCTTAGGCCTCGCGACATCCTGATCTCTCCTGCAATAACAAGGAATCGAGATTCCACAGTAGACGTCCCTTGCCGTGCTCTCTCTCTCTCTTTCTCTCTCTCTCTCTGTTAAGATCCTGTTCGGGAGTTTCCCTCAGCCGTTGTAGTATCTAGTATGTTAGAGTTGGGAGGGGACCGTAGTTATGTAGCCCAGCCCCCTCATTCCCAGAGGCACCCAGAGGGCCAGCCACCAGCCTGACCTCAAAGCGGAACCGGAACACCAGGTTGGGGCCCTGGTGCTGCCACCTCCTCTGCTGGTTGGGCTGGGACCCTTTGCCCCTTAGGAGAGGTGTTGGTCACAGATGTTTACCTCAGTTTATGTCACTGTCGAAGAAACAAAAAATAATAGCAAAAAATAACACTGTAGACATGAAGACTTAGAAGACAAAAAAAAAAAAAAAAAAACTCACACACAAAAAAATCTCCCCTGTTGCGATTCTTCTGTGAAGGTACAGTGTGTATGTGTGTGTGTGCGTGTGTGTGTGTGCGTGTCTCTGTCCCACGCCAGGCAGGCCAGGGCATCCTGGCCTCTGTCCCAGACCCCGTGTCCCCCACACTGGCCCCCGTCCTTCGGTGCTTCCCAGAGACCCTCTGAGCTGGCCTGTGGGGTGCGGGGAGCCCCCTGGGTGGGAGGCGGGGCCACAGGTCGACCAGAGGGTCTCTACCAGGCCCACTGAACAGAGCCCCATGGCTGCCCAAATGTTCCCTGAGCCCACGCTGTGGCTGGTGGGACAGTCCTGGTGGCTGGCATCAGCGTCCATGCTTGGCTCAGGGCCTGGGGCAGGGTCCTGGATGGAGTCCTAGCCCCAGAGCCCCAGCCCCTCATGTCTTGCCACCCTTCCCCCATGTGTTTGTAAATACTCTGGCATCCTTTGGCCCTGAGAAGGTTTTTAAATGTGTTATTTACTTCTCTAAACATGACGATTGCTATAAAAATAAACAAAAGTTTAGAAAAATGACCACTGGGTGGCTGTCTTTTCTCAGGTTTGGGTGGAGAGGGCGGTGGGGGTGGGGGCACACAGGTACTCTAGAAAATGAAAACTTGGGCTGGGCACAGTGGCTCACATCTATAATCCCAGCACTTTGGGAGGCCGAGGTGGGCGGATCACCTGAGGTCAGGAGTTCAAGACCAGCCCGGCCAACATAGTGAAACCCCGTCTCTACTAAAAATACGAAATTAGCTGGGCGCGGTAGCGCACGCCTGTAATGCCAGCTACTTGGGAGACTGAGGCAGGAGGTCTTGAACCCGGTAGGCGGAGGTTGCAGTGAGCCGAGATCGTGCCATTGTATTCCGGCCTGGGCAACAAGAGCAAAGCTCCATCTCAAAAAAAAAGAAAAGAAAACTTGATTTTGACATAGGCTCTAGGACTCCTGTGACCTCTCAGAGCTTGAGGGTGAGGGGAACAGGATCCAGATTCTGGGACAAGGGGCAGGCAGTTGTCCCTTGCCTGGAGTTCAGCTTGTAGCCCTTCTGCCTAGCCAGAAAATAGAGGCAAAAGCCCAGAGGGATGGTGCAGGCCAGTTCACCACTCAGCATCTTTTTACTGAGCACCTTTTGTTTACCGGGATTCCTCCTAGGGGCTAGGGACACAGCATTGAGCAGCACAGACAGGGCCCCTGCCCTTGGGCAGCTGGTGATCTAATGATGAAGGCAGACATTGCCCAAACAGCAGGCTGGGTTCAGTGAGAGCACGGAACTGGGAGACTCATCGAGTTTGGAGGAGCCCACAGATGCTCCCTGAAGGTGAGGCCAGAGCAAGGGACAGGAGGAAGCTAAAAGGGCTGGTTGCAGGTGTAGACTCCAGCAACAGGCGAGGTGGATGTTCTGAAGGAGGGGGAGCTTCAGTGGGCTGTAGGGAGTTCATGATTCAACACGCATTCAAACAAATATTTGTTAATTACCTGCTTGTGACAACAGAGCAGCCCTGTTGGCTCTGCCTTCAAATACAGACACATCCCAAGGCAGCAACTGCCCATCGCCTGCATTACTGCCCCTGGACGTAGCCTTCCTGGCCTAGGGCAGGAGCCTCCTCTCCTGAGACTCTACAGGCTCTTCTTCTTCTTCTTTTTTTTTTTTTCCCCAAGAGTTGGGGTCTCGTTCTGTTGCCCAGGCTGGAGTACAGTGGCTCAATCTTGGCTTACTGCAACCTCCACCTCCCAGGTCTAATCATATCTCACTTGCAGCCTCAATCTCCTGGGCTCAAACGATCCTCCCACCTCAGCTTCCCCAGTAGCTAGGACTACAGGCACGTGCCATTGCTCTGGACTATTTTAGTTTTATTGTTACTTTTTGTAGAGACGCGGTCTCACTAT